ACACATTCAAGAGAAAATGTTTTAAAAAGTTTTTCTGTCTTGCCATATGTAATTATCTTTATAGAAATGTTCATCTACAAGTTATAACATGCTCACATTTAAAATTGCAAATTAAAAAGTAAGCTACTCCAATTAAAGTACATTTTATAAGAGCATCGTTGTAAGTTTACTATGATTATGCAGGAAACAGTTTGGGCCATGTTTATCCCATTGATCTCCCAGAATTGGTGATCTGTTCTATAAACAACTGCAGCAAGAGGTTTGGTTTTTCAGCGCTTCTTTCCCCAATAACAAGTGATTCCTGGGGGAGGGTTAACCATTAAGGCTTGGACAGAAACACACTGCAATGTGGATAGTCTTTCATAGGCTGGGGAATTGGGACATTAAAGTAGGCAGAGTGAGTTTCCTCTGGTTTGTTTATTTTCGTGACACAAGTGGAAACTTCATATGTAGTATAGCTGGAGGAACAGTGAGATGCTGGTGGCCTCATCTTCTGGTTGAGAGGTAAAGGAATGATATTGCCTGACTTTATATAACAATAGGATTTGGAGAGAGCCCAAGAGTTCTTCAGAATTACAGGTTCTGCTCAGTCAACTGCATTAGGACAACTCTGGGATCTGGTTCACGAACTGCTTGCTGTAGGAACAGAGGTTGGTCTGTGAGTGTGGTATGAACCAGCCACTGTGTGTGAATCTGCTGCTTGGGCACTGTGGGACAGCTCCCAATTATCAACAGATGCTAAGAGCACAGAGTGCATGTTCCACTTCTGTCTTGGGAGAAGGCAGAGACATGGGACAGCACCTGTCCCTGTGGGATCCCTGGTCCCAGCCTGCCCCTGCAGGAGGTGACAGGGGACACAGCTGTGCTACTGCAAACCTGGGGCATTAGGCAGCAAACTGGTAGTGACAGCCCTGCTGCCTCTTGTGATATCTATGCATGAATTGCTTTATTATAGACTTTAGAGAAGGCAACAGACCAACAAGAATAACTCCTCCTTCACTCTGGGTCTCACTGAACACTTGGTGTTTTATGAAGAGCTAGACTTCCCCTTTTTGCAGCAGAGGTGAACAGAGCCAGAACTGCAATGTGAACTGTATTTGTGATCACTGAAATCAACTTATAATTTTAAAGCTAGTCTTCTGATTTTGGAGTATTTTCTCTTTGTAATGCATAGCACAAGGAAACCTGCATATGTACATTTAGGCTGCAGATGAGAGTACACTAGAGGGAAGTCAGAGGGGAACCCCATTTCCATCAGATGAGAAGGGTAGAGACAGCCCAGAAGAAGGCATTTGGGAGGTGCAGATCAAGCTGTCCATGAGGAAACCATATCCTGGAAGGGGGCTGGCAGTTTGGGTAAGCATTCAAATGCATCCCTTTGTGGACAAGCAAACTCACCTCAGGGTTAGGTTTATGTTATTTTAGCAGCAGTCACTGTGGCCTTACAACATGCAAATATAACCTCACTGTAATTCTTGCTGTCATTATAGAAGAGGAGCAGGAGAAGGCAGGGGAGGAGTGCTCCTGGAGAGGCAGCAGTGCCCTCTGCCAAGCCCTGCCGGTGACACACAGCCCCAAGGGAACAGGCCCTGGAGTACTGCAGCTCCTGAGCCTGGAAACTTCCACATCTGTATGCTGGAAGGGGAGCACTCATTTTGCCAGTGTTTTAGTAAAGGATTAAAAAATAATTAGAGTTTATATATGTTCAAAAGGAGGGGGCACGGTGGAGCAAGCCACAAGAAGATGATTAAGTCAGGTTGATTGGCTCTGCCTAGAATGACAGCAGTGAGTGTGAAGGTTTAGGAAAATAACTGATAGCCTATTACCATGATTAAATGCAGCTTAACACTTCTTTTTGTATTATAGAGGACCAACAGATGAGGTCCCTATGGATTTTTTTTCCTATTACATAAAATGGCTACAGAAGCTGAACTATAATCCCTCGCTAACTTACACATTAGCCCAGGGCAATAAAGATGTTTTCATTGCAGGCAGATTTCATGAAAAGTTGTTCAGTTTTATCTCTGAGTACTGTAATGTGCTGAAGGCATTTAAATGTCCTGTTGGGACACACTGTCCTGAAAAGCAGTTACTCTCAAAAGGACAGCAAGGTCATTGGAAAAGCTGTATTTTCTGCCAGAGGATCCTGCCCTTTCCCCTCAGTTGATCTGCCACTTTTTTGTCTTGGTTGTGAACAGAAGCCAAGCCAGACTGTCAGACTGCAATCCCTGCTTGCACTCTGATGGATGCAGATCCAGCACCAGACAAACATGGTTGAAAGGGAGGCCCTGGTCCTCTGGCCTGCTTCCTCCAGTTTTGCCAAGTCCTCCTTCCGCTCCTCCTGCCAGCAGTAAAGGATCCTGTGTCTCTGCAGCAAGGTTTCAAGTTTCCAGTTCACACCTGTTACTTGGGCTGTTCCTCAAAGCAGCAGGCTGGTTCCCTGCCATAAGTGGCCACTTCTCCTGTCTTTTCTAGAAGCGGTTAAAACCTGTAGCCCAACTCTCATCATCTTAACTTGATTTTTGACAGAACCCTTTTCTCTAACCTTGGCAAATGCAGCAGTAGTTCAACCATGCCTTCCCCAACAGCTCTTACTGTCCAGGCTGCCTCCCTCTGCCTGTCCCTCTTGGCTCATTCCCTTGATTTCACAGATAACATAACCTGCTTGTCATCTTTCCCCCATCACTTGGTATCAGACTGCAATTGTCTCTTGGCTCTCACTGTCATTACAGGATGGTTACATTTTCATCAAGACCTTCATGCCTTTTCCTCTTATTCCTGCACTTTCTCTCCCTTCAGCTGGCAGTGGCACATCATAATTACCCATAATCCTGGCTTCTAGCTGTGATTCAGTGCTGCACGTTTGTTTCTGTGGCTTCTCTGTCTGGAGGACTGTTGGCAGCTCAGGGATCCTCTCTCCCTCTTGGGTGTTCTGTGGCTCCTCCACAGAGCCTCCATCTTTCTTTTGGATTTTCTTGTCCAGTTCCATTCTTATAGAAGCTCAGATACATGCAAAAGGTGTGAGGGTGTCCTCTCTCTAGAGCCAAAGACTTTATAATCTTTGCTAGCAGCTAACAGCATCGGGAAGTGCTAATTTACTGCCTCATCCATGCAACAGTGTATGGTCTTTGCAGCAGTGCTGCTTGGGCTGAGTCCCCTTCCCGTTGTATTCATATCAGCTGGCCTCTATCTGGAAGGCAGATGAGGAGCTGGCATTAGTGGTTTCTTTCTATAAACTATTATGCAGAGAATAATCTCTGATTGATGAGGTCATGCCCCACTACCTTACAAAGAAACACATGTGTCTTTCCTAGGTTTAAACATAAGGCCATACTTGGCAATCAGTCAGCAGTTTCTCATTGACTGTGACTGGCAGGGATTTTTATTATGCTTATTTTTGATTTTGTTTCCTTCATTTATCTAAATCTAGGAAATATTTCTATTTAATCTTTCAATCTATAAAAAGTACAGATTTCATCTTATAAGATGCTTTAAGTATGTATAATAAAATGATGGTTTTCCCTTTACCTTGCACATTCCATTCATATTGTAATTTTTTGTTCGAGCTTAAGCAGTCCGTGTTTCATTAAAAAAACCCACACTATTCATATTTCTTTCATCCCTTATAAGATGTTAAAAGCAATGTTGCTTTGATGAAATTTGGCAGGTAAGAGGATCTAGTTGAATCATCTCAAACCCCTGGAGTTTTGGGTCTCCAGCTATTATAGTAGAGCAGCTATGAGTATTCAGAAATTGGTCCTTTGTTTGCACTGCATTTCCAAGCCATCTGTAGCACACAAAAGCCACAGATCTCTTTATAGTTTAGAATGAATATTTAAAAGTTCAGTTTTAGGTTTTATTTGTAGCACTTCACATCTTCCTATCCCATCTGTCTTGTGTCTCAGAACAGTTTCATTCTACTGTACTAGGCAATGGCAGTACTTGGTCTTAGAACCACAGGTAAATGGTGGCTCCTTTCCAATTGATATCAGAGTGTGTAGTATGTGCGATCAGGATCTACACTGAGCACATATGTGTTTATTTATTCCCATGCACTCAATTTTTATTTGATTATTAACAAGCAGCTGCAAATATCAGGTCATCCAGTCTGAAACTTTCCTGCATGTGCCTATAGAGTGGCAGAAAAACCAAGCAAGTGCATGAGTGCTGCTGGCCCTGGATGGGGCAGTCTGGCACCATGGCCAGCACCCACCCCGGACTGGGGGAGCTGTCCTTGGACCCGTGTGCTGAGCCTCCAGTTCCACAGTGAGGCTGGGGAGTGACAGGTGCCCTTGGGAAAAGGGAAGGCACGAGGATACCTCACAGTGAGAGGGAACTCGTGTCATCTGGTGTGGAGGAGGCTCTAGGGAGAGGGCTTGGAGCTGCTCACTTCAGATGGTGTCAGCATATGCATTTGTATATTTTCATATATATGTTCTGTGGAAAATTTAGTTAGAGCTTCTCTAAATTGCAGGAAAATACCTCATTGTAGTAATTCACCCTGTTAAAAGTCCATACTTTTAGAGTATTATCATCTAGTTGTATCAGGTTCAGTATTTTGTATCTAAACCTTAGCTACCTCTGACAACAATGTGCCATTTTTTTCTCTTCTAAGTTTAACTAGATACCTGAAGTCACCTCTTTTGAGTCAGAGGTATGAAAAGAAAAGCAATCTATCTTACAGGAAAAAAAAATGAGATTCATCTGCCTCCCGTTGAGTTATTCTTCAGTTTTGTTAATTTGATCATCCTTTGTTTTTATTTTGTGCCCTGTCCTGGGCATGGATGGCACATCCTGGTGCGACGTTTGTTAGACTCTTGAGGTGCAAATGAATCATTGCCCTTAATGAAGTTCTTACTTTATTTTTTTTTAAAATATAGAAGTATATAGATTTATACATGTTTATATATGTATATCACCATCCCTTTCTAGAAAAAGGAGTGAAATATGTATGTTAACACATATCACTATGAAAAACTTTTCTATCTCAACAAGACCCTAAATATAGCAATCACATTGCAATTCACCATGAAAATTCACCTAAGAGTTATGTTGTCTTCATATGAAATAGAATTAAAGTGAATGAATGAAGACTACAGTACCCTGAACTGAGGTCCTGGGATTAACTAAAGAGCAAGAGCTTGTAAAGCCAACAGTTGAGGTTCTTCAGTGTATATTATATATGGCCATCTCATCAGATAAACTTAAAAGGGTAAGAAGTATTCATGTTATTGTACTGTCATTATTTAATAAAATTAAAAATAATTGGTTTAGGACAAGAAATTCTGAAATATTTGATAGTAGTTGAAAATAGGCTGCATTCCCATGAAGATAAGGGTTGTTTTTGCAGTGGTGGGCCTTTTTCTAATGAAAGGCAGCCTCACCTTCTGGCTTTGCATTTCGTTACATGTTCCTGGTTTTTTTTGCTTAGGCTTTAAAGTAATGAACTTCTCTTTTCCACAGATCTCTGTCATCTTCTCCTAGTGCTCCCTGGAGAATAGATGGTCAAAAAGTGAACTGTTTTTCTGGTTGCCAATCACATCCAATTCTTGAGTCTGTGCACTGCCTACACAACCACTGCTGTTGCTTCAAACAAGCAGTCCTAAGTAAGTATGAGAATTTCACTTCAAATGTTGTTTTGGTTATTTATTATTTGGGAAACTTTTGTCTGTTATCATTCCATGAGAGACTGAAAAACATAGACAAGTGAAATTGTATCATGTTCCCAAAGCACTTTTTACTGTGAGCAGCTCATCTCCCTTGGCTGCAGGAGTGTCATGGGGATGAGCAGGTGATGCCTGCTTAGAACTTCTTGTGGCTGGGAAAGAACTGTGCTAGAGGTAAGGAAGGCACGATAAAGGCATTTATTATACAGTGTCTATTGTGTCTGTCTATTGCACAAGAGCTCTGCCTTACTCTGCTTTTGTATGGAAATGGGAAATAAGCTTTAATATTCAGATTGCAAAATCTAAGCTATAAAGAATCTAAAGGAAAGGTGAAAAAGAAGAGAAAAATTTAGCTGTTTCATTTACTTTGGGAAATGAGTGGGGCAAAAGCAAGAATCTATGGGGGATGGGAATGAAAGCTCTTCTGGCTGGATAGCCTGAGTTAGTTTGTTAAGGACAAAACTTGCAGTGTTGTTTGTTAACATGAGCTGGCCACTGTTAGCTTGACATTAGGTTTTTGCAAAACTCTTCAAGCAAGGGCTTGTGCTTCCCCAAAAGAAAGAAAAAGTGTCACTCTTTTCCTCATAATAAAAGTAGAAAACATAATGGAGCCTCAGACCATGTCTTGTGAAGGAAACACACTTAAACCCAAACATAACAAAAAAGTCTTTCTCTGGGGAGCTCTGTACCCTTTAGTCTCCAGCTGACCTGCCTCGCCCCGTTGGAAAGGCCTAAGCTCCCCAGTGAGCAGTCAGGACTCTGGAAGCATCTGGCAGCCTTTGCTCTGACTAATACTTAAAAGTCTCTAGGGCTGCCTATAGTTTCTGGAAATTTTTTTTTTCATTTATTCTTTTATGAAACCTTTGTTCCTTCCACAGAGTTCTGTGGCTGATCTATTGTGAATCTTTGTTCTATATGGTGTTTTTAATCCTTTTCCTTAGTGTGTGTAAAAAGCTGCAAATTTTCTGTGCCTTGCCTGTCTTTATCCTCAGCAGTCAGGTTCCTTCCACAGCAGTAAGTCAGCGGGGTGGAACGACTGCTCTGCCTGGCTGCTGCCTGCCCATTTGTGCAGGTTGTCCAGACCTGTTCAGCTTTTTCTGCTCTGTAGTGCATTTAAATATCAAGGTGTGGTGGGTTCTAGTCCAGGATTTCTTAAAATGAGGACCTGGACTTAGGTACCAAAGTGGATTCAGAAATACTGAAGCTTTGACTGCTCTCAAAAGAGCATCTTCATTGTTTAAATTTCGCAAGAGATTGTTTTTTGGGCATCTAAAGCATTAATTTTAGGAACCTGGTTTTAGGCACCCAGATTTTTGGCTTTGGCCCTGGTCTTGTGTAGGTACATGGTTTAGTCTGCCTGAGCAGAAAGGTGCTGGAATGGGTTTCTGTCCTCCAAGCATACACGTGCTCCCCTCTCCAGCCTCACACCACGAGCACACAGAGAATGGCAGTGTTTCTCACTGAGTTCATGCTGTCTGATGGCACAATCCAACTGCTTCAGTGTAAATCAAAAAGATTTTAAAAATGTGCAGGTGCCAAATGCTGACAGAACCAACAATTAAAAATACAGGATCTATAAGATCCTAAGAGAACATCTAACCTGCATTTTTCAATTAATTCTAGCTGGTTTTTTCCTCCTCTTCAAAAAGCAGGACCTGTGGCTGCTGTTTGCCTGGCCTGAGAAAGCCAGCACACGTCTCCAAGGGCGTTCTGAAATGTCGTTGTATAGTTTTTCTTTTGACATGGGCTAGGGTAGCCTAGGGACTCGTTTATTTGGGATAGCTAATTCTGAAATATTCAGCAAAGTTTTTCATTGTCAACTATTTTGCCTTCAATGTCATTCAGTATCAAGGAGTGTGACCAGTTGGGATGAGAGGAGAAAGACAGTTCTCTTTAAATTCTGAACCCTAAGAGGCAGCTGCTTTTCCTGGCCAGTTGTCAGCACCATGGTGCTTTGAGGATGAGGAGGGCTATGGAGAATGAGGCAGAACATATTTTTGCTATCCCAGCAGCCTGGGCTTTCTCCCACAGAGGAAGGAGTGTCCCTACCCCCAGCATGAGGAATCTGCTCTGGTGGAAGAGGACAGGCAAGAGTGTGGGTCCAACTGGGCCACAGCTACAGAGTAAGGTTGAGCTTAAATGTTGTTTTGTCAGCACTTTGTCAGGCTGGGACTTGCTCACTCTGAGTGCGCAATTGCACTTCCACACTTGGTGTGGTCTGTGCTAAAGGCTGGAAGAGGAAAAGCTGAAATAGAGAGACCAATGGCAAGGATGAAAGTCCTCACTCCAGGGTATTGGTGTATTTGGTTTTTTTACCCACTGTAATTTGTGAATGGCGAGGTCAAGTCAGAAGAGCCTTTCTGTGCAGCATGGCTGGAGCAACAGCCTGAGTCCTACCCTGTCTGGTGCTGCCAGCCTACCTCTTATCCTTGTCTTCCATTAGGAAGTTGTGTAAGTCATCTCAAAATCAACAGGACAGGAAGGTACATTTGAAGTCACAGCATTAAGGTTCAAAATATCTAGAGGATACTTTAAAATTGTTGGGTTTTATTAAAATTTTCCTTTCATAGCGTGATCAACATTTGGTGCCCTGAAGCTGACATTTAAGTGAATATTCATGTAAATTTTGTAAAAGAATAAATGGTAGACAATAGGAAATTCATTGGTAGTGGTTATGGTTAATGCTGAAAACAAGAATATGCACCTCAAACCACATGTGTGATTTTCATAGATCAGTTTATGAAGTTGCAGAAAAGGAGGATATTAAAATATTTACTTGTTTTCATAAACCCAAAGAGATTTTTAAACCACATGTTCACTGTACTTCCAGAATTCCATCAGGCTGCATGTATGCACTTCTTAGTCCTTAAAACTAGTAAGATGTCATTAAAACATTCATTGACACAGCCACTATCTACGTTAGCTAGACCTTCAACGTTATTAATTCAGCTCTCCCTGCATTTGCATGCAGCACCTCAACTACAAGGCTTTAATGCTGTTCTCTGTTTTGTTCTGCTGTCAGGTATTCAGCTCTGGTGTCTTCTTCACTGAAGAATTTCTATATTACAGCTCTGAATACAATCTGTTTTGTATGCTCATGAACTAGCTCTCGGACTCAACCCCCCTGTATTTTATATTCTGCACTGGTTAATTTTTCATTTCTCTGGCACCTTGGTGAAAAGTAGTCAACACAGTTAACAATATACATTGTGCAACAATAAATATTTTATTGGCTATATAATCTGCACAATTCACTAGTTTGATTTTTGAATAAATCTATAATTTTGAATATTTGGTGAAAACTCATTTTTTATAGTATGCACTATAATCACTGTAAAATGTACGATCTGGTTTTTAGTGGGAGCTGTAGACATTACCTTTACTTTTTTCCTTAACATTGCTAAACTCTAATAAAGCTATTTTATAGGCAGAGTAGTTTGGAGCAAGAAATACAGAGGTTTCACCCTGGGAACAGTATATAATTCATATACTACTAAATTACAGTGTATTCCTTACACAAGATAGCAGTAAGGAGTGTCTTTTTTCAAATGTGTCTAAATACTTGACATATATACTTTATATATGAATTTGTTGTACATTTTTTTGGTTTTGTTGTGTCTCTTGTTTATGCTGTTGGAACAAACAGATTTCTTTATGTCTAGCTTGTGTTTCCTGTCCTTGTCTTAAGCCCATTGTAATTAAGGAAGAAATTCTGTTCTTTTCTACCCCAGCATTTCCCGTCTATATTGTGTTTCTGTTCATGGTTTCGTATACAGGAATGTAGGGATGAAGATTGCTTGGTTTCCTTATATATTAATAGATTAGGTTTTTATTGTTGCACGTACCTAGAAACTGTACTTGATCCAGGAGACAAAAAGATAAATTACTCTGTATGCAGGTTATTGAACTCCTATCACTATATTGTGATATATTAATTCTTTTTTTAATGCATTCATCCTCACTGTGTGCCTATGAGATAGGGAGTCTAAGTCATAGTTATCTCAAAGATGGAGGATTAAGCCACAAAAAACCCCTAAGCAACTTGACTAAGGCTGCACAGTGTGTTTGGAGCAAAATAGAGAGTGATCACAGCTCTGAGTGGTGATGTTAAGTATGGGATCACTCCCCCTCTGTTCCTAGGCTTCAGCTCTAGCCTCAGAAGCTATGCTTTCATTCTGTTTGAGTAAAATTCCATTTGAAATAAACCAGTATTTCTAAATGAAAGTATCATAGTCTGCAAGCCAACTAAGGGATTTTAAATACTGTTTTACTGGGAATGTAATTCCCCATCGTTTTCCCCTGTGTCTTCTGTGTTTTTGGAACTATTGACCAAGTCTCTTGATGGGGCACAGCAACACTGGTGCCTATTTGAATATAAACAAGTTTATGACAAGAAGATGGAGCAGCTGATTTTTGTGGAAGGATTTTAAGCAAACAGGGAGAAAAACATTTTCACGGCCTCCAAAGGATGAGTGAAAAAAGGAGAAAATGAACAATGTCTATCAGAGCAAAGTTACTCAGCATAGCTGGCTGCATTTAGGATAGTGAATACTTTCCAGAGAGGAGTAATGAAAGCTCAGGTGCTCAAACAGTTTGAAATGAGACTGGCAAATATGTTCAGAAAACAATCTGTGATTAAAGAGTGTCTGTTCTGATTATAATGTTTGTTACTGTGAAAGAAACTCATATTTGGTAATGCATTGGTTCCAAAACTGGTAACCTAAATATTGATGAATGTTTGCAAAATTCTGCAGTAGGTGAATGGTTTAGAATTCCCTCAGGTAAGAGGAAGTATCACATGTTTCTCCCAGATGAAGATAAATGTGTTTGCTGTTGACAAAATAGTTGTCTTTATTCTTGTAATGGAGGACTTTAATACTGCTTCTTTTAAATGTCATCTACTTCCCAATATCTTTCTTTTCCACCTTATCTGCTCTCAA